AAATTAAACATGAAAAATACCTGAAATTTAGCATTTGCTTTTAACACAATTTGTAGAATTTAGTTGGTTCTATGAACCACATAGGTTGTTCAATAGTAGCCAATGGCTCAAACCAAAGTGGCTCAATTTCGTATCAAACAGTATGTAGATAAATAGTAAATGTTATGTATATTGTAAGATTAAAACATAGAATTTTATTGTATAAACCCCCATTAGAATTAGAATACGTAACTAATGAAATGTTTGTAAAATAAAAACTTAATTGCCCGTGAATCAATACGGATAATACGTCCTAGAAACCTAATTGGAAAATGGATAATTTGTTTCGTCCATAGAACCGATAATTGTTCTGTTTATACTAACCGATTGTAGTTACGATTACGACAATCACTAATTACTATTACAATAATCACCAATAGATAAGCGGTTTATTTGAAACAGTGATTGAATATGTATTTGTAATGGACAAAACAAGTGAAAAAGTAACCAGGTCAACTGAGGAAATTAACTGTTGTTCCCTGAGCAATAAATGGCTACGACAGTGCTTCTGTATTGTTCGTTTTATTATTTGCAATCAAAAATATCACACCTATTATAAAAAATTCAGCATACCTGTAACTAGGGAACAACTAGAATCGTTGTACAACCATCCTGGACAAGGATTTTCATAATGTGCACATCTGGCTGGTTAATTAGTTTAACCGTTTCGCTGTGTAACTTAAACGAATTACCATTCCAATATTCTCTTAGCAGAGGTCTGTAAACGCTAATGCTACTGTTATACCTTTCACTACGGTTTAACATGATAAAAATGTTGCTTAACTCAACATTGCCTTAACATATGAAGATGTATAAGCAATGTTATATAACTATCATACATAAAAGTATTGTTAAAGGCTTGAAAATGTGTTAGGCATAAATCTAAAGTATCCTGAACTAATTTGTTCATATGAAAAACAAAAAAAGTTGTTATATGTATATATACAAGTCTACCCTCTTTTATTGAATTTTTTTCGTAGGTTAGGCAGCAAGAGACTCCAATGAACTTAAATATTGTGCTCCGGCACGTGTGTATATTCATTCCCTAGCAAAATAAAGTAGTTTTAATTCATTGAACACGGACAAATAAACAAGTAATGCGAACCCGAAACATAAATATAGAGAATGTTGTATAATCAAAGTCTTTAATACCATTTATTGTGATTAATCCTGAAAGATATTTTATGAAACTCCATATTTCGTATTGGCGATGCAATGTATTCTCTGTGAAATAGCAGAAGCCATTCACAAGCGATTTGGAGGCAGTAATTCACCCGCAATGTTGATATCGCCACCCTGCTGGCAGAGGTTTCCCTGATAAACCATTCCAACACACTGACCACATGTCGGCCTCTCTTTGTCATATCCGTTCGATTTTATTTTACATTCAAATGTCATCTGCTACAAAACACCGCACAGCACTTCAGCCTTAAATTTACTGAACGTCAATGGAATACAATTACTAAAGCGTTTTACCGGATGGATCTTATATTACTCTAGTTTTCAGTGCAAAAAAGGAAATCATACAAAATTTTTTTTGTATGCATCTGTCAATAGTAAAACTATTCAAAAAGCAGTGATGTTCGTGAAATGCATATAAAGTGTGAGTGTACATGTAAACGTTTTACGTAGTTTTCAATCGTAATCTAAAGTTAAAGTTGTTTATAAGAATTAAGGTAATGATATTGATCTACAAGAAACAGTTTTCAATTGATAAACAAAAACATTTCAATACCTTTGTTTATATTCTCACCATTGATATTATTCACATTTTATATTTGTATTAATTTCAGTAGATCACAGACAATTCAATGTTCACTTGATGTGTATTGATATATCCCTTGTTCGATTACTCTTTCAAAGCAATGTTGGAAATTAAGTGATTTCAAATCGTAACACTTTTAATTTTAATAAACCATCCATACAATTGTAATAGATGAATCGCAAAATGGTAAGATACAACAACGTGCTATTACTTACAAAATGTTTATTGAACACGCAAGGAAGATAATAATCAGGGGAGGCCCAGCAACATTAAAATTAATTTCTAAAAGAGATAATAAGAAAATTGCAAGATTGGCAATGCAAAAGATCCCCTCCTCCGTTCAGGGTTTGAACAAGGTTTGATTAATTTAAAAAATATTCTATAGCAAATGTAACAATTTAGAGAAATGAATTTTGCATCCTCTACTATACGATTAGTTAGCTATCCGACCAAACATTAACAATACGGTATTATAATCTCATTAATTTGTGTACAAAGGTGTAAATAGGTATGCATAGGCATAAATCCTCAGTTAACATAAATAAATAGTTATAAATTCTACGTTTATGCATTGATTATATTATTAATGTTTACCGTTTGTTAACTATTTGCCAACTACAAATAATCAACTTTATCTCAAAGGTATTCCGTAATGTATTCAGTAATGTTACACTTTGTTAAACTACAAAAATAAACTGCAATATAAATTTACAAAAGGTTGAGGTTCAGTGAATTCCCAGAACTAATCTTTAATAATGTAATTACACAGAAGAGAGAGTTCTTGGTAAACAGGAGAAGTTAAGATAATAACCTTAATTAATTAGACAAACTGCAATCTCTAGAGAGGGACAAACAAATACTTACTACCGTCTCTTGAGGAATGTTCTCTCTAAAACACACTTGTTTGAGAGGAGGAAGTGTTCCGCTGGTTAGTTTTTACTCTTTTATCAAACAATGTTTACAGTTTAGTACAACTGAAAACTTTAATCATCGAATGACTTTTTGTAAAGATATATTCCTGAACAGAGACAGTTCTTCACCCTTACTATTCCTTAGGTTCCACATTTTAAATAATCTTTACTATATTGCATTTCTTACATAGTAGTTGATCCACACTAGGAATTACTTTAAACACTCTAGTGTTAATTTTAAATGTGATCTAATATCTTAAATGGAGGGTTATAGTGGTTTATAATTAAGCTCAATTATAAGGTAATAAATCTTTCTAAACTTGAAGAAATGTACTAAAAGAGCTTAAACTGAATAGAATGAATAGTATAATTGAAGTTAACCAGGGAAACTAAACCATGCATATTACCACTGATATAATAGTGCATAATATCACTTTATTATAGTATAAAAGTGCACGATTTGGTTTAAATAATAATTTCCACAGAACTTGACTAATGGGAGATATTTAATTGGCCACAGAAAAAGCTTAAATCTAAAACCAAATCAAGAGACACTTTATTTTAAAACTCTTTACAAAAGAAGAGTATCAGTGCAAACCAGAGGTATCTATCTCCTCAACACAATATGACATAGTGGTCATTTGAATATGCATCGAAAATACATTTACCTGAGTTCTCTCTGAGGCTGGTGAAAAAGTAAAATGATCACCATAATATTTATATTGGTCATATCAAATTGATCATATTGGGTTGAGATACAGCCGTTTAGTTTTCTCTGACTTTCTTTCAAAAATTTTATACTGTAAAAATTGCACTTTTAGGAAATAAATAGGTTTGCAATATTGAATCTTTTTAAAAAAAACCCTTTGAAATATCGAGGGGGTATCCACCATACCTTCTATAACCACATAATAGCAAAGGACTATTTCTAATAATCAATAAAAACATTAATGATCTCACTCAGTGTTGATTGACTTGAAATTGAGAAATTTCCATATGTTCAATATATAACATACATGATTAACATATGTATATCCACATGATAAACAAGGATAGTAGTTTTCTGATATGAAATGTTATTAGCAAAACAACTCATAGTCATAATTGATGGAACTAAACAGCTATTGATTCAAATTGGCAAATTGATAGCAGATATATGGTCCATTCACCATAAAACCCAACATTTCATCAATAACTGGAGATCAAATACGTATTTACGAAACAACAAATCGGAGGGCACAGTCCGTGCGTGAATGTTATTTTCCAATTATAAAGGGAATGAAACATTGCTAAAACAGCAAACGCCAGAGAATCGTTAAACTGCAGATTATTCTGATATTGTGCCAGATAAATTACTAAGTCAACGAATTGATAATTTTCCATTAACTGTGTTAATAGAAAACCAGTACATCAGTTTGACCAATTGATTTAGGATTGTTATCAATGAAAAGTAAATGGTATGACATTCACGTTTCTTTTTTATTTGTAATTAAAGTTAGTATGTAAATAAAGGTTTTAAAATTGTAAAATTCTATAACTGACGATAGTAATTTTTTCACATAATACAGTTTATGTATACATTTTTAAGTTTGATTATTTTGTTTCGATATAGAAAGGTTTGCCTACATTTACACATTACCAGGTTTAGGTTCGATTGTCTAGTGAAATGGTGATTGGTAAGGCATCACTTATTAGTATTATTCATCCCTTACTATACTATGTAAAATATATTTCAATTACGTCAATAAATGTTTTTATTTTTTATTTAATTGAAATAATGAACTTATAAATCTATTATTATAATCTCCCTGATTTTCTATATCACAAGTTGCAGAAAAAACTTAAAGAATAATATGAAATTAAAGGAACATCAAGTTCTTTGACATTTGGTTTTTTATAAGTTTGTTATTGTAACTTAATGTTCCTTCAATTTCATATTATTCTTTATTGTGGTAGATATTTGAACTGTTTACTTGTTAGCTTCAATCTTTATGAAAAAGTACGTTTACGAAATAATACAGAAAAACTGTTCTATAAAAATATTTCTCTATCACAAATTACTAAATGGCCTACTATATAACTGGAAAAAAGTCGTCTCTCTTTTTAAAATAGCTAGGCTCAGTTTCCACACTTAACCTATTCAATTTCTCTATTCCTATAAATAGATTTCTTTGTTTTCCACAACAATATACTGATTCTTGGTTCACAGGGTATGGTTACAAGAGAAGAACAACTCAAAGCAACGTCGTGACGTCACGAGTACGCGTCTTCAGCATGCTGTGAGGCAGCCATCTACGTCACAACTACGTCGACCCTTCATTGGCCAGTGATGCTTCGAGACCATGTGTGCCAATTTGCTACTGCACCTAGCAATTGTCATAGCACTCTGCATATATTGTGGTCAGTAGCGAATTGTTTAATTGTAAATTGTTTAAATTTATTGTTTAACTTTTTAAAACTATTTCTATAAGTAAATTTTGTTCATAATCGTCATACCTGTCAATGAGTCTCCATTTTAAGATTTCTCATAATTTTTTAATAGCATTTAATGATAGATTTAGCACTAATCTACCTTCTAATGATACATGAGTAACAATTCTGTCCAACAAAAGTTGTCTCAAGGCAGATAAGGTTACTTTGTGACATGTAAGATAATATGCATGTTAAACTTGATAAGATTGTTCTATAGCACCTTAGGGGGCCAGACTATCAGATTTCTACCCAGTAGTTTGCATCGCTTTAGAGACGTTCTCTGAACAATGTTAGAGAAACATATTACAACTCAAACATAAATTTATAAGAATGTTACAACTATTTAATTAGCCTGAGATTAATTATTTTTATTTATGATTGTAAATTTAACAGCAATTAAAAATACGTTTTCACATTAAATGCTTTTCACATATGTAAGTGTGTATAAAATATGTAAATATTTCAAATAGGAAATTATTTTTTAAGAGTAAAAAAGTGAATGAATAGCATGACGTATCATTATGAAAACAACTGGCTTTAGGATGTTCATGGAAAAGATGTATACCATTACCACGTAATTTAACTTTTACTTCTATTCATTCATCTTATACTTATTTTAGAACTCTGTTCTTTATAAACACGTTTTACTCGTGTGTTATTTTCGCACGTTTGTTATTATGTTTGTTGTGTTATTTTCGTTAAGTCTGCAATGCTCAAAGACTTTACTATATTTCTACAACTCAGTGACTATCTTCAAATAGTTTTATGTGGTATTTAATCTGTCTCACTCATAGTTTTTTCTCTTTGATCCGTGCATTATAAATGGTTTCAAAATTGGTCCTAGTAATGACTGGTAGGACTTGTCAAAATAAATTGCCATTGTAAGTGTATTTATATATAACTATTATAATGTTCAAAGTATACGTTTAAATATAAAAAGAGTGTCGGAAGACGTTTACTACAAATTAATTACGTATTTATTCACATAAATACTTTTTGAGATCAAACAGTCTCACTTACGAACGAACTTCACTACTATATTTTCTATTATTGATGGGGATCTCAAGACTTAAAAATTTTATATATCTTCGGTCTCACTGAACACAGCAGTAAAGTTTTTGCTATTCAGGGAATGATAAATGATCGATACACAGTATACAAAACTTTCTCTTCAATACACAATGAAATCAAAGAATTTGATCAACCGTCGCAGAAACAAATTTAAAAAAAATTTTAAATACTTTTTAATACTTACTGAAACTCCTTTTTTGTGGCTTGCAAACATGAGCCTTAAACGCTGAAACTTTTTAAATATTTGCTTATTGATCATATACAACCTATGTTTGCAGAGATTGAAGGTGTTCAGATCACAGGCCTGTTTGTTCCTCACGAGGTTCAGAATGGCAGCGACCACGTGTTGTTGGACTGTGAGTACTCTCTACGACCTGAGGAGTTACAACCTACGTCAGGGCTGGTCGTCAAGTGGTTCTATAACAACAGTCCGGCACCTGTGTACCAGTGGATCCCTGGCAACAAGCCCCAGGTACCATAGAATAATAGTTTTCACCGCGCCTGTATACCAGTGGATCCCTGGCAACAAGCCCCAGGTACCATAGAATAATAGTTTTCACAACACGGATTGATAACAGGCGTGCACGTGATTGTGGTTGTTGTACAATATTTATCACTCAGCCACTGGATGTTTATTAAGATGCTAAAGGGGTGAAAATCTGATAGAATTTTTTTTAATGTGTGGGTTCAACTATAACACATTTCAGGCAGTGAAACTTACTTAAAACCATATTCGTCCATAGTTTACAAAATATTCAGTAATCAACCAAGTCCGAGGGAGTTATGCTGTAACAACGTGAATGTAATTACTGATCGTGTAAAGTAAAATGTAAACACTGGAAATTTTTGTCTCTAGAAATCCTTACTTACTCGCACTCCTGTGGCCATTGAAAAACTAGGCCTTATTTGTTCTCTCCAATCATGTGCTACCAGGAACCTCTGTCTTCTGCCACCTCAAGGCAGTATTTATTTCACTTAGAAATAATCGTTGGATCTAGAAATAATTGAAAAAAATTAAAACTATATATTTCAAGAATTTTTTTGATGAGCGAGATGCATGACATAGAGTTTAAAGAATAAGAATGTCACTATGGATAGAAGATTGTTTTGTTGTGGATTTTTTCCCTGGAAGACAAGCTATGTTATATTTTCATATACTGGTACCCTCTTGTGTTCCAGTTAATGGAATACAAACGTAAGGACTTGAGTTTCCTCAAGAAAATGTATTGAACAAAATTCTTTGAATTATGGCTTGGGGTAGTCACCGTCAAAGATGACACAACTGTTCTAGCTTTCATTAATTGGTTATTGTTGTTCTACGGTACCGGCCATTCAGGATGTACATGATGTGATCTTTCTCCTATCTATTCGTCCTGCAGGACCTCGGTGTCCTCAAGGGCCGCCTCAACCTGGAGCACCGAGCCTCACAACACAACGGCACGGCCCACCGCGCCCTCTACATCCTTCAGCCTACCACGGACCTGTCCGGCGAGTACAAGTGTGCGGTGTCCACCTTCCACGAGGAGGACTTCATGATCAAACGCATGCTTGTATACGGTAAGCATCTTTATAAATACATTTAGACTAATCAAAAAGGGTTCTCGGCTCAATATTGAGAAATGCCAGAGTAACTTTAATTATTAAAAACTTAAATAACCACCCTTGATCAATGGTATTTAAATAAATGGCTTTGGGCTGGGAGCCAAAATGATCTAGGTCATATTAAAACTGTCATCTCATTCATTCAAAATTCATTATTTACTTAAATTGCCTTAAAGCTGTGCTTTAAAATGTGTAGGCGTCTTATAAAATCTCATCTTATCAAAAAAACACAATACCTTTGATACAAATATTACGCAACCTCAACGTAGTCGTCTGGTGCTTAGAACTCTATCTGGCCCTCGAAAGATATAATAATGAGGTGATAAAAGCCAAAACCCAGATACTATCCTGTTAGGACGTGTCAGAGCAGTGACAGAATATTTGTATGTACACTGTGTTTCAAACCACCCAGGGGGCCAATTAAATGCTAAAAAGCATTCACCTTCCCTTTCAACTTTAAAAGCATCCATTTCACGTTTTCAGTGTACAATGTTTTCCATCATATATATTGTCTCATCTAAGTAAGAATAGAGCATTAAGATTCATGAAAGCAAGAGTTTGCTGTTTTGCATGTTTTAAGTACAGCACATATTTCGACTGAGATAGCCAAACCACAATGTTAATGAAAGGTCAATGTGTGCGTCCCTTGTTAAAATATGCAAATGCAAATCAACCCTTCTTTTTAGGCACTCAAAATTATCATACATTGTGAAGGACTCCATTTCTGCGTTACATATTATAGTAAAAAAACCATTAGAATAGCCTTTTTTAATTTTAATTTTTTAAATTAAATTTGAATTTGAATTTGAATTTTTTCAATTTAATTAAAATTTACGATATTATCTATATTTAAAGCAACAACTAAAAAAGCCACAATTTAAATTAAAGTGATTGGCAAACTCTTTACTTTCATTCAGGGACAAATTGTCTTGACAGTGCAAAAAAGAATCGCTTAATGGATAAAATAATTTATACAAAAACTAAATTTGATATTTTATAGAAATATTTTTAACATTCTATCACGAGGGCAAACAAATGAGGTTGAGATGTTTATTTTTTGTGCTTTTCACTGATTCATTGATAATTATAAGCATTAGTATTTAAAAATTTAGATTACGATTTTTGGCAAATGTAACATTTTTGTACATAATTTAGAGTTGTTCAATAATATAAAATTCACTGTCTTCTCGTATGCTATACTTGCTGAATTAAGTGACTGTATTACCTAGGGCTTAGTAAAATGAAGTTGCTTAAGTTTATGAAACATTTCAATGCTTCCAGAATGGTCTATAGAGGATTTTCTTTACAATAACTGCTATACTCATCATTTCCATGTGATAATATACTAAAAATCATAAGTTGAATATCAGCAAAATATTAAATAAATTTTTTTTTAATAATCGTTAAACAACCATGTACCATACTACAGTAGATGGTTTTTTTTCTGTCATAGAATTCGAAAAATTGGTTTCGAAAAATTCGAGAAATTTCGAAGGCAGATATTGATCTAGGTGAAAGCCAATAAGACCCGCCATCAGTCGGAGTGGCAGAGTGTCAGCTGACAGCAGTTGGGCTGATTACCAACCACTCTTCTGATGACAGATCACAACTCAGTTGCACAACTAGTTTTAACTAAATTTGCCTTCATCAAATTATACCCTATCACTTACTCGTAATCCAATTTATTCGTACCCTTTTTACTTAGCACTTGAATTATTGGATTTGTTTAGAAATAGTCGTACAAGATAGTAAAAAATACATTAGGTTTTTATTTTATTTTACTATTTTTCTTAACTGAAAAATCTAGGTGGGAGAATTTCGCTTTTCTTAGATTATTCTAATCCAGTAAATTTTCAGATCTATTTCAGAGTCCACAATATTATTATTTTTATACACAGCTTAATTGGATGTATTGAAAAGCACCAAAAAGACCTCAACCTAGATTGAGCAAGCCTTTATTTTACATTCGTTTAGCAAAAGGTATACCATCCTAGAGGAGTTAATAAGCTTTTCATGTTTTGCGTGAAAAAACTCACCCTTCAATGTGTATTGTTTTGGCTCTAATTAAACTATAATTTATTTTAAGATACAGTACAGTATATTTTTACCCTTATCAAACAATGTGATACTGCTCCATTAATAATGAATTATACATTTACTCTGAGGTTCCATTAACTTTAAAATACTTTAAGCTAATACTAATCATGACTGCTAATTGTATAACTGCCTTTTAGCGCCGGAAAGGAAGATAGAAGTTTTCCAGACCAAGACAGACCTCCAAGGAGTGAACGTTTCCTGCAGAGCCCTCGGAGTCTTCCCAGAGCCCAAGATGGTCCTTTACAAAGGCAACGACATCAAGAAAATGTAAGAAATATTTGGCCATAACATTTTGTTACTACGGGTTTGGATTAATATTTAAAATTCTTTAGTGAAGCTCCTTACTATGGCTTGTTCATGTTTAATCATATCATGATGACAAACTTTGAAAGAGTTTTCGAGGACGTAGCATGATAGTACACCTACTATGTAACTACCGATGATTACAAAAAATAGCGGCTTAAGATGTCAACTGGCAATGCCAATTGTTTGCGGCGTCTAAATTGTTTGTCTGTTGGTTTAAAGTGTCCATTACCAATGTATGGGATTGAGTTCTCAGGAAAATGGTTTATTCATTTCCTGAAAGAAGATTGGTTGTGGTTAAAAGAAACCAAACGACTGACAATACGGTTTGACCTTGCCTCCATTTCACGCTTAGTTTGTTTTGTTAAACAAGGACATTGTGAAAATTATAGGAGTTACATTTTGTTATCATTGTACTAGGTTGAAGCCAATCAACGAAAGTTCATCCATAACTTACAACGAACTATTTTATAAACAAATATGGAATGCATTTATTTTTTGCTTGCAGTTCCTTGTAAAATGCATATCTACTTTCTCAAGTCTACACTTTTTTGCTGTTTTTAGTTGGCAAATTTTAATATATTTGGTTGATGGAAAAAATGAAAATAAACAGTAGTGTAATGGTTTATTCTAAAGGGTTAAGGCTCCATTCTTTTACTTTTTGGTTATTTTACTTAGTCTACAATTACGTAGAAAACATTTTCGTTATTTTATAATCTTTGTTTGCACACCTTTCATCAAAATGTTGTTCAAACACTTACAAACTAAAAATTAAGGAAACCTGCAAAAAAAAGTTTAAATCAGGACCATAATACCCTGATCAGTAGTTTAAAAATTAATAAAACACTTTCTAAATATAACCTATGAGCTCATTTACAATTTTCTTGCCTCTGTATACTTTGTGTAACACAATACATTTCTTTAACATATTTAAGATTAACGTATATAATTCTGACATGTGTTTTTAGAACCTCTATAGTTTCTCTTTATTAAGTTAGTTAGTTCTTTATTAAGTATACCGCAGTAGTAGGGTATAAGGTGTAGCATGAAACTGATTCTGCTAATCTATATTTTAATGTTTCAAAAATTATGTCGTAGCATTATCCAAGAAGTGATTGTTCACTTTCTACCATACCTATGTTCCAGGACCTTGATGACGTCAGCAAGCCTAGAGTCGGTGTCACATGATGGAGTTTATGACGTCACCATTACAGGGTTTCTCCACGACGAGGAGCTCAACTCACCAGTCATTGTCGACTGTGAGCTCAGCATTCCCGAGACCTCCTACATGCGGAGGAAGCTGATGCACTACTACCCAGGTCGGTATATGGGACAAGCAAAACATGATCTAAGTGAAAAGAAAGGAACGTTTACATTGAAAATATATAATGGTGATTTATATGTGTTGGTGTAAATGTTTTATATAAATACATAATATCAGTATATAAAAAAAATTAAATTGATGAAAACCTATAACGCTCCAAGTATAAAATATATGTTTTTACAATATTACGCTACTGATATATTTGGTTATTTTTGAGGCAACATACTTTTAAAAGAATATCACCCTGGATAACCTTTTTGTACGTGAATATAGGATACGCATATTATATTTTGCAAAAATGCACATTCAAGAATTACAAACAGATATTTTTACCGTTATAAATTATGTTTTAAAATGTGTTTATTGAGAGCATTCCTCATTGATAAATTACTTATATGTGCAACTATAGCTCGGCCGCTTAGAAAACGACCTCCTCCAGCATTGGTTTAGCATTAGCGCGCAGGTCGTTTTCTAAGCGGCCGAGCTATAGTGAGCAAAGTGAGCAATTGCCTCACTCGAGAGAAATCTTTACCATTTTCAAGCTAATAAGGTTGATCTCGATCGGCCTCAACCTTAGGAAGAAAACAAAAATGGGAAGTTCTAGTAATAGTTGAAAAGGCCTATCCCGCTGTAATGTGCTAAACATTTCCAGGCTAGTGTCCTAGGGCATGAGGGTCTTTTACTCAGCAGTCCGTGGACATTACGCCTAAAGGAGTCCGGCCCTACTGAGAGGACATTGCTCCTCTCAATGTGTGCGTAAACGCTTTTTTAAACTCCTCCACCTAAAGTCCACCTAAACTCCTAACCTTAATGTTAATGGTTCTCTAGGTAAGAAAATGCTTGGCCAATAATACACTTGCAATTTTATTATAAGTAATGCCTTTAATCTTATTGATGTATTGTTTCAGGAAGAGCTCTTGCGTGGATAGGTAAGTAAACATATTTAATACGTGCAAGTGAATCTTCTAGGTTTTATGAAAACATTTTTTATAACACAGAAAAATTATTTATTGAACTTAAGATTCGTGGAAATACGAGTAATGACATATTGAAATATTTTAAAGTAAACATTAAAAAAATTGTATTCTTAACCTGTTCTTTCCAAACAGGATACTGTAATTTAGAATCCAATGGTTATACAGATGAAAATCCCAGTGTTTCTTAAATTAAAACGATTATTTAAGATAATTACAAATAATATATATATATATTTACAAAATAAACATAATGAAAAGAAATTAATAAATAACAAACAAAGACTATTTCTTATGGGACCAACACTAATTGACAGGTCAAACTCACTAGCAAATTCAATTCCTATCAACAGCTATCTATCTGATGCATCAAATGATTTGTATTTTAACTCGAAGTTATTGTTCACAATTATCTCTGTTTGCAGCAGATGACACCAGTGGTGCAGTGCTTCTACGGGTGAACTACTCGGGAATCGCAATGTTGTTTGTTCTGTTGAATTGTTGCTTGAAATCATGATCAAGCAGTGATTGGACTTTGTGAAGAACTATTTTTAATATTCATCTGTGCCATAGATCACATATCTAACCATATTTTGGAATATATTGTCTACCAAACATTGTACTCGTATATGTGCTAACAGTAGAGGTTCAACCAATCTTGGCTGAAATAACTACATAAAATTTAGAATTTCTTTAATTGGATAGGTGTCAATTATTCAATAAACATAATCCTTAGTGTCGACTAAATATTTAGATCCCTCCACGTTTCAACCAAGATTGGTAAAAAGCTAACTTGTTTTGATCTAATTAACTAAGTTGTTTATCGTTGATTAAGCTTTGTCAAGAAAACTAAATAACATTTATCAGAGTTTATAATTACGTATTTAATATACTATTTTCTTGTGCTTTTTATCATTGTTTTATTACACCACCTTTCCTAAATTTCATATTTTCGTGAGAGATAAATCTTAAATTTCATAATGCAAATAAAACAAATAAGATACAATAATCTATTAAAATGGTCGTTGTTACCTTTTATGCATAGTTTTATCTTCTTAATTTTGACCTGTAAATATACAGAAATTGCATATTTCCAAGCTTTATCATAAAAACGGTCGAATGCTATAGTTAAATATGATGGAGGAAAAGTTATGGCGTTCCTGGTGCAAATACGTAAAATGTCTTCACTTTCTCTATTCAAAGTACTGAAGTGGTCACTCGGAATACTACAGATAAAGTATATTAACAATCCCTAGCTATCTATCTAGTTCAGTGTTAACAGTGCACTTGATTTAACTGAACACTAATGTCCAGTCAAACCTGCTTCACAATCCTTACACTATAAATTAATTAATTCAGTACATGGCTTAAATAGTTTAAGTACGTCATAAGACATTTGAATATAAAGAAACTGTTCATATTTCAATTACAACTATTTTGAACATATGTATATGATGGAATAAAATGAAATGTAACATGGTGAGAATAAAAATTTTTTAATTACTTGTAGTCTGTGTGTTGTACATTTTTACAATGTGAATCACGTGAAACTTAAACCGTGATGTTTGGGACGTATTAGCTCAACAGTGTGTAAATATTTATGATGATCCAAAAACTAATCACTGAATCTTTAAGGTTAACAAATGACAGGTTTACAATTTTGAATTATATTGATCGATATAGTTTAAAAAATCCTTCATACGAAAAAGACCAATTTAATTAACAAACTTTTAACATATCAAATATTTTATATATGTGGTAGTCTTTGATGTTGAAGGATTAGTAAAAATTACTCAATTTTAGCACTTATCTAGCCCCAACCCACTGTGATCAAAAATCTCTTACAAAGACACCGAGAACAACAATAATTATAATAAAATGTTTATGAAGCTTAAGAAATGAAATACAAAAAATAAAACAAAAATTTACTAGTACGCAAAGTCTGATTAAAAGGAGTTACAGCTAGTACGCCCAATCTAAAGACGTAGATTAATTAAATAGTTTTACTAACTTAGTTGTTTACAACCTACATGATCACTATTACCCATTGGCTACATTAGAGGACATCTCAGCTAGATTGAATGGTTCTACTTTATTCACCATCCTTGACTGTAAAAAAGGATTCTGGCAGATAAAAGTTACGAAGAGAACATCCAAACTACTAACTTTTTCAACACCTTGGGGGCGCTACTCTTGTTTACGCATGCCCTTTGGTTTGGTATCGGCCCCTGAAGTGTTCCAGTATATTATGTCAGACTTGCTCAAAGGAATTAAGAATGTAGAGTGTTCAATGGATGATATACTCATTCACAGTAACAATGAAAGAGACTTGCAAAAGATCATAAGCCTTTAGAGGCTATTTTTAAGAAACCGTTGTCTGATGCTCCTCCCAGAATCCAAAGAATGTGTTTGGAAATCTTACCATATCGACCAAGAGTTGTGTACAAGCGGGGTTGTGAGCTTCATCTGGCTGACACCTTGAGTAGAGATTGCTACAATGACAATCAAGATGATGAACCTCACAGCTTTGATATTCAGTTGATAATTCCTATGTCTTCTGATACAGTTTCTCGAATCAGAACTAGTGTTGGAAAATGCACAGAGCTTTCTAAATTGAAGGAAATAATCTTGAGTGGATGGCCCGAAGAAAGAAGCACTGTTGACAAGGAATTGGTAAAATATTTCACTTTCAGAGAAGAACTAAGTTGCTATGATGGTCTTTTGTTTAAAGGAAGCCGTTTGATTATACCTGATGAAATGAAACTTGAAGTGTTGCAGAATATTCACCGTCCTCACAAATGTGTTCAAAGTTCAATTAATACAGCACGTGACTATGTATATTGGATTTATATGGAAAGAGATATTGAACAATATGTAGCAAGGTGCAATGTATGCAGCAAATATCAACGAGATAAACCTCAAGATGTGATCCTTCAAGAAGCAGTACCAGTGAGGCCATGGCAGATCATCGGTGCTGACGTTTTTGAATGTGGAGGTAAAGACTTCTTAGTAGTTGCTGATAGTTACTCAGGATATTTTGAGTGTGAAAGTCTAAGGAACAAAAGTAGCATTGCTGTTATTACACACCTAAAAAAGTACTTTGCAACTCATGGTATTCCAGATGAACTAAGAACTGATGGAGGACCATGTTTTGCTTCTATAGAATTCACTAAATTCGTATCCGATTGGAAATTTAATCATAGAATTTCATCTCCTCATTTTCCAAGATCCAATGGGCTGGCGGAGAGGTATGTGCAAGAAGGGAAAAACTTAATTATCAAGTGTCAAGAAGAACAGTCCGATATTTATCTTGCACTTCTTCATCACCGTAACACACCAAGAGGTAACCTAGGTTCCCCAGTTCAGCGGCTGATGAGTAGGAGGACAAAGACTCTTCTTCCATCTACGACCAACCACCTTATTCCGATGGTCATAAAGAATATTTCAAAACAGCTAGAAAAAATTAAAAGGCGAGAGAAGCTATACGGTGATATGAGGAAGACGGAGCCTGATCAGTTTAAACTTGATGAACCAGTGCTTTTCAGATTCAAACCAAAGTGTTGGCTGAGAGCAAAGATTGTTCAAGTTGGTCCTGAACCACGATCGTACAAAATCCAGACTGATGATGGACGAGAATACCGAAGAAACTCATGGTTCCTAAGAAGAGACAAGTCATTCAGAATCTCCCATGATGTGAATAAAGGTCAATCGTCCAGGTCAGAAGAACATAACAATGACTCAGCTCCTGTTGTAAGACGAGGGGAAAGGATTAGAAGAACACCAAATAAATTTGACTTGTGAAGGAGGGATGACAGTAGTAGTTAATATGTTTATAACATATGGTAATTGTTCTACATATGTTTTGTGTTATTGTTTTTATATTTTGATTGAGTTTTTGTTAAATTAGAAATAAACAACCTTTCTTGAGTTCAGTATAATTATTTAATAATTAATCTAATGACACTAACTACTCTAAAAACCTAAATTAAAAACGAAATCAATATATGACTCGGTTTCATAGTATTAAGTCCTGAATAATAAATAATTGACTTTACTATAAAACAGATAAAGCAATGATATAACAACCCGTAACATACAGGGTTAGGCAAAAGTATGGATACACACTGTTAACTTTTCAATGAGTTTGACTGAAATTTCAAACTCCGCACACATTATTATAACATAAAAATACACTTTTTGGTTGATATGACAATTTTGACCAATTGTTTATAATTTCATTATGTTCTCCATTCAAGTTAACTTCCGAACAAAATAACTATGTTTGGCAATTGTTTAGTATTGATAATTGTTTGATGAATGAAGTTTTTATTAGTTATAGAGTTTCGTGAAGAACTATCAGGGTAAATGAATAAACCAAATCAAAATTTGACCGACGAAGTGTAATTGTTGGCTATAAATAAACTGTAAAAAGCTTTTGCCAGATATGGTAAATATTTAGTTTGGGTAACAGCAAAAATAATTCAAATATTCATTTCATTAAAACATTTGGTATCTTTATTTCGATTCGTATGTTTAAAATAACGGACTTTTAACAACGTTTCCTCAAATAATTTAGCATAAATGAAAGATACAAATATTTATTTTGCTGAATGAAATTCATTGCAATTACTTATAAAATTCCCATGAGAATAGCGCTGCCACAAATTTGATCTGTCTAATATCCAAACTAAAATCGAGAATTATTTTTCTTGCTTGTCATAAGCACCACAGTATTTTCTCGGCTACTAAAGTATAGGTAAAACCCTCCTAGTGAAATGGATAAAGGCTTGTTGTAAAAGAATCTTTGAAAGTATAACTTTCTACTTTTGAAATGCATTCCTTTAGTAAAAGTGGTAGCAAGGCACGATCTAAAGTAATTTTGATATTAGTTTACCACTGATATTGATAACGCACTACCCTGATCACTCCGCTCTTACATTCTACAATATTCCACACGCACTTAAGACAATTATTTATTTTAAGATTGATAAGACCCAGATAGATAAATCTAACATATAAACATCTATTGATATACCACAAACTAATTAAGAAACTTTAAATAATTTCCATTTCAACGTGCAAGATAAATCAAGTCCATAATAACAGCACGACTTAATAACTTTATTTGGTTTTTTCCTTTGAAAAGTATGTACACCTCAAAATTATGGGAACTTTGGAACTACCGGCCGAGTTTTATAGGCTAGGCATATTAGGAATATAAGTGGCAGTTAGCGGAAAGTTTAGGTACAGTCCTAATCATCACTTTTCTTTATGTTTTTTGGGTCGCTGAACACGAATATGAGGTTTGCTGACAGATATTTTGCCCGGAACATTGGTTATTTTGTGAAAAACCTTAAAATTTGGGCACTTTTTTGGTTTTTCAGGCAAATCTCGGTAAGTATGGGTTTTTGAGAGAGTCCTGCTTTGTAAAATTAAAGATGACAAAATTTACTACACGTTTCCTATATAATGTTTGTTTCTATGACGAACGGTTTCGCCACTAGAGCACACTAAAAAAGGCCAGAAGTACAAACAATTAAAAACATTGCTAAATGCTGCCGTTTTACATTAGGTTTCCATAGAAACAACCCATGTTACGATAATTTTAATTATTTATTCATGATAACAAACTGAAACACACTTAAAAATACCCCCGCCACAGCAAACCTGCAGACTAAGCGAATTTCCATTTCCCTAATTGGATTTACACTCAACTGTCTCCTTAGGAATATCACATTTATTCCCTATTTAAATAAAAGTTTAACGAGTACCTAGGTT